TTTATTTCTTTCTTATAATGTAAGTTATAATACAAATTACTTCGTGATAAACGAAGTAAGAATAAATGTCGAAGAATTCAGTTTTACAAATTAACAATCTATTCGACCAGTTTATAATACGAATTTTCCTATTAGGTTTCCATTAATAATTTCCTGGCAACATAATAACTTATCGAAGAATCTCACAGCTTTCAAATATTCTGCTAGTAGAATGTACATTCAGTACTCTATTATAGACTCTGCTAATACCCTATGCTTGCATTATTTCGTACAATAAAAGCGTTATTAACATTTTGAATATTTCGATTATCGATCGGTAATGTTAAAATTTGATCTTGGAAACTACGATGGCTATGGTTCATGATTTTTGAATTATCGCGATTACCAAGCAGCACCCTCTCGCTCAGTCTCGATAAATACCATACGGTATTAAAATATAACAGCAAATTTGTTGTTCACGTATCGATTCGCAAGTTCGTTTGAACAAGCCCCGACTCAACGATGCGCACGGGAATTTCCGAAAGTTCTACGACGAAATATCCACAATAACTCGTTGAAGCTACTAAACTTCGACGTTTCGAGCGGTGAAAAGAGTCGTGTTCTAGTCGATCACTGGTGCCAAAAAAAAAGAAAAAAAAATAGCGGGAGAGAGAGAAGCATCCTCAACGTCGACGTGTTCGAAGTACCGACGAGGTGTATGATCAATCGTTTACGCGTAACGTCGAATCGTACGTAACCGTTTTGCAAACTGCAAACGCGCTCTAACATGTTCTGCTTGGCGTTGCGTTATTGCTTCTGACGCAGTATAACCACGGAATTTATACAGAGCTTCCTATATGCAAATGTATGGTGCACCCGAAGCTCTGAGCTTTTAATCGCGAATCGTCCCAGTTTAACCATCTAGCGAATTCATTGCTGCAAACGACATTGAAATCAGAATATTTTTGTACAATTCTCAAGAATCGTCGCTCTATATTCTTCTTGTGACCTCGATGATTTTTGATCGAAAGAGGAGGGTTTATAACAGAAAATCTTCTGAACAGAAGATCTTTTCAGGAAAGGAAAATGGTATTTCGCCATTCTCAAGTTTCTTTAGGCAAATATTCGTCGTATTACAGAATTACTGTATGTTTTGTTTGTAATTATGCTACAGGAGATCGATATTTAATTAAATCAGGAAAACGTGATCATTGTAGTTAAAATTATTTTTGAAGACAAAATATTTTCAAACTAGACTGATGTACTTTGAACGATATACCTTCATTTTTACTAAAATTTAATATTTTAATAAAATAATTAAAACTATAGATATTTCTCTTTTCCGTTGCTGCTATCATATATACTGATTCGTTTCTTCATATCCTTGAGTCCTTGTTTAAAACAGCCACGGCAATACCTAAATAATAGTCTTGTCAACAGTCCTATACCTATTTTGTAGACTCAGTTAATTTTCATTCGACGATAATTCATTCTCTTCTAATACGAGCTTTGCATCCGACTATCAGAATACATTCTTAGATAAAATATCGGAAACTCTGACTAGGATCGAGGCACGTTACAAGACACTCATTCTTTTTCCTACCACTGTTCCTCGTGTCTTGTTCATTTTTTAATATTTTCCACCCTCCCCCTTATTCGTTGACAAGCGTTAATCGCGGCAAATTGAATGCTCGACGCTAATTTTATGCGTGTTTTAATTTGTCGATCGGATGCACGAAGTCGATTACCGGGATTGATTAAATTTTCATTTAATTAAAATTGTTATAATCGCTTACAGCATGGAAAGTCAGCATCTTCGGCATTTTTCGTAACGGAACGTTTGTTTTGGGATTAAGGGAAAAGTTCCGAAGCGTGGTTCGAGACGCTATGAATATTTTGTTGTCCTACCGGGTCTGTTTCCGAGAAAGAAGGTTCCAAAGTCGAGGTCGTTGATCGTGCTCGAGTATTACACATAAACATGAACTCGGTTCGATGTAACTGTTTATACGTAAAATCCAACGAGACAGAGAAATTTTTAGGACGTTAGGGTTGGAATCAGCAGATTTCTTGATACCAGTCCAGAACCGTACGTATGTTCAAGCGAAAAGAAAATCTCTATTACTCCTTCGAATATTTTTGTTTTAAGGAAGAGTATTCTGACGAAGTCGCCTATCCCGGAATTCTTACTTCCATACATTTGAAATTCGAAGACGACTAGTATACGGAAGAGAATCGTCTGAATATCAAGAACAATGAATCTGACTACTGAATAAATAATAGAATTTACTTGGTTTAGAGTTCGAAATATATCCATTGAAAAAGATATAGTACGGGTCAAGATATTATAACGAGATTGTGCTATTTAGAACCGTACAATGTAATCTATGTTCAAATTTCGATTGAGAAATTTCCATAGAGATCTACCATTAATAATGTTTCACTTACAGGTAAAAAGAAAAAGACAGAGAGAAGAAAGAATAAGGAGAATCTCGACAGCGGCTGATATAAGGAATTTCGTTTACGCTTCTACGGTTGGGAATAATATTATACATCATATTATAATACATAATTATAGCACCATTCACTGATAAGAAATTTTGAAAAATAGCTATGCAACTGATTAAAACCTACTCGGTATTCATCAACAGTTCAGGAAAAGTTACAAATTTCTGATCAAGATTTCAATCTTTATTCCACTCTTCGCTTATCTCATTATTCAATATAAGCAAAGTCTCTAAGTCTCTTCTTATAACAACACCGTAGCTTTCAATAGATTATCTATTTGCATTTCTATCAATTTATTTATCTCGATCCTAAACACACTCACAACATATTCATTTCAAATCCTGACTAATTTTACAATGTTTCAATTTACAATTTTACAATTTACCCATATAGTATCTTAAACTGTACTTTCCAGTTCTCCAACAGAATTCACGCGTTTTCCGATGGAAAACGAGCAAGAAACAATCCTTCAACGAACCTTTCGACCCTTTAACGCCTATTCCCCGGAGAACTACCACGTTAAAACGTTCGCCACGCGAAGTCTCGGCCCCGTGTATCCTAGCTTCTAAATTCTTACATGCAAAATCGTTGGTGGCGATCAATGGGTGGCACGCCGCGAGGAGATTGCAGCTGATGGGCAGAATAGGCGGCGAAGCTTGGCCACGGCATTCAACGAGGCTAACTCTATCCCGGCAAATTACATTTCCATCCCCGTACGTGATAGGTGCAGCAAACATGCCCGTCAACGTCCGACCGAGTTTCTCCCTGATTAGTTACACTCGACGCTCGGATTATATTTCCAAAGGCAATTAATTAACCAACTTCCTCGGGGTCGCTTATGACCGCGTCGCGCTACGTGTCACGATATCGTGGATAGCCGGCAGTGGACATTGAAGGACAGCGTCCAATAAAACTGGGTGGTCGCTACGGAAGGAAAGAGAGGGGAAAATGAAATTTCTTGCGGAGCGAAACATCGACTGAGACGTCCACAGGACCACCTTAATGGAAACTGTCGCCGAAAACGTCAGGGTAAAGCCGTACTGGCTGATCAATCGTACGGTTGGACTACTTTCGATGAACTCTTATATCGTCCACCTACATCTTCCTTATTCCAATCATTTCTATCGCTCGGTTTTTGTATTTCATACATTTCCAGGTTTCGTTGAATGTCTAGAATTGTTGACTCTTACAAACTAGACATTTTTCGTTGGAATATCTTCAGAATCGTGGAGAGGTAGAGTTGTGAGATAGTTTCGATATCAAAGTAAAACTATGGTTTGGTATATTAAATAAATTTTAAGGTGCAAAGTACACTAAACAAGATGGAATGTTGTGCGATGGAATGCGATGCGGGATAACCTGGGCCAAATTCAGGGACTTCATTAACCAAATTTAACAATTATGGCAGATCCGATCTTCACTGTAATGTATATACATATATATGTAATTTTAACACTAACAATTTTCTCTTTTTTATCATCTTTCTTCGTTCATTTTAGGAAAATTACTTAGAAATTATCGACACATTATTTTGTCATGTTTTTCTCAAAACTTGGATGGGTATGAATTTCTTTTTCACCCCCAAATCGAAAACACTCGGTCCTTCTAATTACTTCTAGCACTCAAAGTTCAATCTAATAGGTTATTTAATTGTTTTATAATTAAACATTTCCTAATTGCCATTTCAAAAGAAACTTCTTAAAAATTGCATTCGATATCTGTGGTTGAATTAGAATATGAAATTCGTGGAGTTTTCCCGCGTTCCAGGGCTGTTAACTTATCAGGCTTCCAGCGGCGGAAATATTGAAGTTTCTAGTTCGATGTCGTCGCGTGAAACGAGGGGAATTGCATTGCAATGTTCGCGTAATTTTCGTCGATGAATTTGTAGGACAAACGAGCGCCGCTGACATAATACCATGTTAAATTTATTCCGATCGAGTGTCAGAACTGTGTCACTTTGTGCATCGTAAGTTTACGCCGGTTTCGAATGGACAGCGTTGTTCGAACGAGAGATCCGCGGATATTTCACGTTGTAGAGTGAATAACCAAAAAACGAATGTCGGTCCGTGATAAACTTGGCCCGACTGACCAGCGGTAAACTCCTCTACTAGTTCCGAGCATATATACGGGCTGTCAGCTCGCGTTACGCGTCTGCATCGACGCGTTCACCCCGCTGGAAATATTTCACGATAACCCGGATAGGGTTAAACGGGATATCATTTAATTTCCCGTTAGCCCGCGTGAACATTTTGTTCCGTTTGCACCGTGTTAATTACGAACGCGTCAAGCCCCGCCGATATACTTCCGTTCGCCATGCGCGTACATTCGAACGGAGTAAATCTCGCGTTAATTCCATGAATAATAGCACGACTAACAGAGGCGAGCCTTTTTAGAATGTTTCGATAAGGACTAAACACTTCTTCTTTTAGAGAAACAAACATTCCCCTCTTACAGAAGCTATTTATGTCTCGAAGGTGAAAGAATATCATCTTGAAAAAATAAAAATATCCACTCACCCAATCAAGTGTCCTTCGCACGGGGACAGCCGTAGAGCTGGCTGGTTGTTATCCTCGACGGTAGCGCCTCGTCACACATCCGATCGCCTCAGGATCGTTTCCCGAACTCGCATCGAATTATCGTCGATTGATACATCTTCCGTTTCGTCACTGAGTTTTTCCTCATTCCGTTTCCTTCACAGAAAACTAATCTTTCTTTCCTTGAAAATTTCCTCTCTCAACGTTGTACACCGTCCGGCGCAATGTCACACGTGATCGACTCCGATCGCGGATTACGACGCAACAATAACACGCGATATCGTGACGAAAACAAATCGAACAGTTTACAATTTGATCGTTGTATATATGGTAAAAGGAAGCGCGTGAAGGAGAAGGGGGATTGTTCTACGAATGAGGGGCTGTTCGGGTCGAGGCCCGAGGCAAAACAAAAACGAGACACAGGTAGCGATGTTACGCACGCGGTGGCCAGTCGCAGACTGAACTCGCGATCCGCGAGTAGCATCGATTTCGATGGAGGGGGAAAGGACTACGGGCCGTGACTGGAAGGGTGGGGTAGGGAGGGCTGGGAGGGCGCGCACGGGGCGAAAGGGACGAGAGCGGACGAGGCACAACGAGAGGAGCAGTCAAGCTATACGGGTGTCTAACAGCCGCGTTGGACGAGAGCTTATTTTGCCCGTGAGAGAACTGCTCTGCAGGCGTGAGAGACTCCTAGGCGTGAAAATACCTAGTCCTCCCGTAAATTCTTATTATAAAGTATTATACGTTGTTTGAGAAAGAGATAAGATAAGGTGTGGACGAAGTGAATGGCAATCGTTTTAGGAGACTTATATGGTTGTATAGATTGGTAATTGTAAATAGAAGTTCGTCTGATTTTATTGTCATGGAAAGGAATTAGCTTCTCGAATAACTAGTTTCTACAATATTACTATAAAGTATTGGATTGTCTTGGGAGGAAGATAAGTTAGATGTGTTAATGGCAATCGTTGCGAGAGACTTGGTCCGTTGCATAAATTGATAGAAGTTTGTGTTATCTAATCGTTATGTACAGCGTTAGATGTTTCTAAAATATTATTATATAGTATTGTAGAGTGTGGAGGTTCTTCGGAGAAGGAAGAAGTTGTAGATATAGCAAATAGTAATTGTTTCAGGAGATTCGTATCGTAAAAGTTTGTCTATTTTTATTATCATAAAGGCAGATTGTACGGTATTAGATATTTCTAAAGTGTCGGATGATATGTTTGAAGGAAAGAGTATCGTTTCTATCAATCAATGATTTCATAAACTTTACCGTATAACGTAATAATTCTTCACCATTGTTAATTTAATATTGCAAACATAATACGCCTAAATCAAATGAAATTTTTGTATTACACCTGAAAACGTCACGATTAAACAATAGTCCATGCTTCCTCGAAATTTATCCTCTTTAGAGGGTTAATATACTCCAAACTGAATCCCTCGAACGATTCTTGTCCCTTCTATCTTTTGTTCGACCTTAATTCGCCCTCGAGTTTGTTCTCCGATCCCCGCCAATATTGGCTCCCTTGGTGGCGATTGCATTATCCGCGCGGGGATTTCGTACGAATCTCGTTTGACGGAGGGTCGCGAGTCGGGTAAACCATTGTTGTTCTCTGGTGATCGGCACAGGCTGGTTTTGCAGCTGATGGCGCGATTATTTTGTTTTACGCCTGGACGTTTTCGGGACGTTTGATTGGCGTGTTGTACAGGTTAATGGGACCGGCTGAATTACGATGATGATTGTGAAATAAACGAGAAGTGTGGTTTTGTTATCGATATGATAAAAATCGAACGGATACTTGAAATCGAGATTGAAGTTCGAAATCGTTGAACTTCGTTAAAAATGGATTAAGAAGATATTTCGAGAGAGAATTGTTACGGTAGTTCGTAACAACATTATTTTATGTTATTTGCCTTTAAATACGAATTTATATGTGTACTTAATGCTGTTAAACTGTCAAATAGGACCGTTATTCAATCGTCTAAGCGCACCATGAAAAATAAACCAGTTGTTATGTGTTAGTTCAGAATAAATTGACAGATATCACGACACTTATATTCATTGCCGTCTGTAATTCGATTTTAGTATGCTATTCTCAAGTCATATATATATTAACGAGTCGTATTATTTAGAAAGCTATTATAAAGGTTATTAATTGCGCAGAATAATCGAATAATCGAATAATCCACTAATTGAGCCGTAGCTTGATATTTTCCGTTCTATTAATTATGAATTATTTTCTGTTTCACTTATCTGTTTCATCGTTTTCATTTCTCTTCCCCGCGGGTGAAAAGTATCGAAAACTGCACGTCTCTCTGTTATGCAATTCGTACGACGTGTTATACGTTATTGACGATTCTCGAATAGTTAGTGGGAGGCTAAAATCCCAGGAGCCGTTGCGGTGCGTGTTAAACTGGAAACCAGTCGAGTGTACGGATGATTCACGATTTTTTTTTTCCAGTTTTTTTACCTCGTCGACTACGATGTGTATTTAATTACATATTTAAGTGCGGCTTCAAGAGCGTCGTATTTCCACATGTTTCCAACAATCTTTTAATGCGTCTCGTTGATTAAATTCTTGCAAACAAACAATTCACCCTCTGGTAAGCTTTTTTAATTTTCAAAATATTTGTACATTGCTGTAAATTTATACATATGTATCCCTTCGAAATATCAACTAAAAAATGTATTCGAAGATACTTTTATAGTTTATAATATATAATATAGAATAATAATATATAATATATATAATATATAATTTTGAGAAAAAGTCGCTGAGAATATTCCACGACTTTCTGGAGTGTTAATAGAAAGAATTTCTTTTTTGCATTTTGTACTTAGTATGTTTGATGTAAAAATTGTAGGCCGATCAAGGCCTAACACGCGTTGAATGCTGTACTAATGCTAGGATTCGTCGGCAACGATTGTGGATCGACGCACGTCGCCGACGATAATCGTCGATCAACGACGGATTCAACGTCACGTTGGTCGACAAAGGCAAACAGCGGTTGTCCGTGATTCGTCAATCCGTTTGCCAACGTTATTACGCGTTCACTGAAATCACAACGAACGCTAGATGAATTTCCTTCTGTGATTTCACCACCATTGTCACCTTCCCTCTCGTGTGACTTCTTGAATTATTTCGTGATCCAAGAAGTTGTTTCTTCCAAATTTTCATGAACTCAGTGTGTTTCAAACTCTTTTTCCTTTTCTTTTTTTTTCTGATCGGTCCAAATCATTCGAGTCACTTTTGTGTAAAAATCGTTCCATCAATTACACTTTTCGATTACGATTTCAGTGGAAATAACAGTGAATAAGGAGATGAAACGATATTTCATGTAAGGTGTTCTAGTTTCTTCTAGTCAAATATTGTCGGTATATTCTATCGATATAAATAACAAAAGATATAAAAACGTGCGTCGTTTGAAACTGTATTAAAAAGTTATTTCAAAAATATGAAATACAGGGAAAAGTTAGCAAAGCATAAATTCGTTGATAATCGATATAATCATAAGCTGTTGATATATGTATATTGCCATATATGTATATTCACCACTCCTACAAATACAAAATTTATAACAAAACCAAAAAATTACATTTATTGCTGTAAGAAGATCATTTTAATCTGGTTCAATTTTACCAAATCAGTCATCTAGCTTTCGAATGAATTCTCTACGTGCTTTGATATTTAGTTATTTGATACGCGTACACAAGATACTGTCTAAAGGAAACTGGAATACCCTATGTAACGACAACGTTCGGCATAAAATCTCTCTTCCTTTCTCACCAGCATTTAGTCAAGAAACGAAGATCGATCGATCTCAAGTGATATTCTTTTGTTCGAGGTGAAGTAAATTCACTCGAAATCAAAGAAGAGTCAATACGGTTCACTTAAACTCCACTCAGCGAAAGATACACTTAACTAACGATACCCGGAGCGGCTCTTATTCCCGAATATTAAGCTCCGGAACGGCGGATCCATCGACGAGTCGAATAGCCCAATTAGAGCGGCCGTCCAGCAAACGGGAGGATTCCCGTATTCGTAGCCTCATCCGCAACACGATCGGCCGATTCAAACTTTCTCTTATAAACTTACCAACTATCCAACGATTTTCCCTCACAGTTCTCCACATACGTGTAAGTTTAAGTACATACGTTTCCCTTGTTACACGTAATTTTCTGAAAATTCAGCGAGCGTCAGCATGACGCGAATAAATAGACAACAAGCCATAGAATAACGTGGCGATTTCCGCAAGTGTTTTCATTAAGGCGCTTAAACAACCAGAATCCCCGCAACGTACAATTACGTGGTTTTATTGCTGGTTTTCGACTTACGTGTATATCATAGTTCAGATACGATATCCGGTCACGTGTGAACCATCGTTACTACAAGCGTGTACATAAATTTGTTAAGAGGACCCGCAGGAATACGATATCGCGACGGATGGTTTGGGATTTTCGTAAAAAGGATCGGCACACAGTCCTGCCTGCTTCCAATTAAGCTTACGGGCTTGTCCGCTTCTAGACAAATATTAGATGACGTCCGAGCGTCCCGACGCTCTCCCCTGCGCCGCTCGCGACACTACCTACTATTAAATATTCGTTACATAACGCCTGAGATATGTACGTCGTTAAGCTCCGCTATTCTGCTGGCACTGTTACCTGAATTTTTCGCTAGTTCTGATTTCCTGGGACACTGAGGAAATTTTACGATGGTAAAACGAAGGATGTTGAAAAATTTTGTTTCTTTTTTGGGCGGATCAATTGGATAGAAATAATTTTAATAATTTTTATTAACATTCGTTAAAGTAAGTTTTGGAAAAATATGGAAAAAAGATAATTCGTTACTCGCTCGAGAAATATTGATACGCATCTGTATCTTTGGTATTTTTTTAATTCCTTAAAGGCCACTATTTCATTCACAATTTTTTTTTTCATTCAATTTCCTTCATCGAATTCCATTTCTCGACGATACTGTTATGAAGGGATTTGCTCCATTTATTTTTTCATCCCTATTTCTCCTTTCACTTGGTTCATATAATTTTATGAAGTTTGAAGGAATATAATAGTAGCAACATCATGAAATTTTTGCTCTTCCTTCTGTGGTAGGCTTATATAACGTATCTGGTATTTTAATAGTACACTTTTTATGCCTTAGGAAAACAATACGTATATTATTTCATTCACATTTTTCAATAATATTGTCCATACACAACTGCAACGCGTTATTTTTTGATCTTTAATGGTTTAATCGAACCGGGATTCCAATCCTTCGCTTAATAAGAGATTCGTATAATTGAAGTATTCAAGACTAAGGTTTACAGTGGATATCAAAACTAAAAATCGCAAGAGTCTAAGATCAATCCTTCCAACTAATTAAATTGTCAATTAATAAAATCTTAAGAAAAGCTCATTGATTAATAGACATCTTGTTTAACCGATTCCTACGAACAAAGGTAAAAGTCTT